TTAGTTTTTGTTCTAGGCTGCATCGCGATTCCCCACTACGTACATACATGGCACTGTACTTCTAAAAGCTTGCCTATCCCTGATCTACACACTAAAACTTCCTCATAAAGCTAAAGTTGTATTGGTGCCTATAGTGTCCATTTAATTGTGTATTCTAACAGCAGGTGATCATCTATTTTTGAAGGAAGGGTTTCTATTGTGGACATTGATTTTCTTCAGGGGTCAAGTCCTGGGGAAAAAGGTGTGGGAACTCACCCAAGATTCCCGCCTACCATTCCCCCCCCCTTAAAAAAAAATAAAAAAAATTACACTCCTATGCATATAGTGCAGTGCAGGGTGTGTATAATGAATGTAGTGTGTTTGTAGTGAATGCAAAGTATGAATAATAAATGAAGTGTGCTTGTAGTGAGTGCAGTGTGAATAATAATTGTAGTGTATTTGTAGTGAGTGCAGAGTGTGTATAATGAATGCAGTGTGTTTTTAGTGAGTGCAGAGTGTGTATAATGAATGTAGTGTATTTGTAGTGAGTGCAGTGTGTATAACAAATGTAGTGTATTTGTAGTGAGTGCAGTGTGTATAATAAATGTAGTGTGTTTGTAGTGAGTGCAGTGTGTATAGTGAATGTAGTGTGTTTGTAGTGAGTGCAGAGTGTGTATAATGAATGTAGTGTGTTTGTAGTAAGTGCAAATTGTGTATAATTAATTTAGTGTGTTTGTAGTGAGTGCAGAGTGTGTACAATGAATGCAGTGTATGTAGTGTGTTTGTAGTGAATGCAGAGTGTGTATAGTGAATGTAGTGTGTAGTGAGTGCAGAATGTGTATAATGAATGCAGAGTGTGTATAGTGAATGCAGAGGGTGTATAGTGAATGTAGTGTGTTTGTAGTGAGTGTATAGTGAATGTAGTGTGCTTGTAGTGTATAATGAATGCAGTGTGTGCATGTGCTGGATGATGTGTGTACGCGCGCTGGATGACGTGTGTGTGAGTGCTGGATGATGGGTGTGTGAGTGAGTGCTGGATGATGGGTGTGTGAGTGAGTGCTAAATGATGGGTGTGTGTGTGTGTGTTGGATGATGGGTGTGTGTGTGCTGGATGATGTGTGTGTGAGTGCTGGATGATGGGTGTGTGTGTGCTGGATGATGGGTGTGTGTGTGTGCTGGATGACGGGTGTGTGTGTGCTGGATGATGGGTGCGGGAGTGCTGAATGATGTGAGTGCTGAATGATGTGAGTGCTGGATGATGTGTGTGAGTGTGTGTTGATGATGTGTGTGTGTGTGGAGTGCTGGATGATGTGTGTGTGTGAGTGCTGGATGATGTGTGCTTGAGTGCTGGATGATGTGTGAGTGCTGGATGATGTGTGTGTGTGTGTGTGTGCTTGGATGATGTGTGTGTGAGTGCTGGATGATGGGTGTGTGTGCTGGATGATGGTGCGTGAGTGCTGAATGATGTGTGTGCTGGATGATGTGTGAGTGCTGGATGATGGGTGTGTGCTGGATGATGTGTGTGAGTGCTGGATGATGGGTGTGTGAGTGAGTGCTGGATGATGGGTGTGTGAGTGCTGGATGATGGGTGTGTGTGTGTGCTGGATGATGGGGAGGGGAAGCATTTTTTTCTTACTTTATGTGTTTATTTTATTCCCCCCTCCCTGCGTCTTACCTTGTCAGGGAGGGGGGAGAACGCCTGGTGGTCCGGTGGAGGGAGGCAGCCGCTGCACACAGGAGCCATCACACGCTGTGTTCCCTCTCCAGCTCTAACTCTCGCGAGACTCGCCTGTGCGGAGCGTTGCCATGGTAACAGCCGCGGGTCTCGCGAGAGTTAGAGCTGGAGAGGGAACACAGCGTGTGATGGCCTCTCTGTGCAGGTAGCAGGGCCGGTCCTGCAGGACAGGTAATGGGAACGGCGTTCCTGCTTTGGAAAAAGTGCAGGAACGCCGTTCCCATGCGTTCCTGCAGGACTCGAGCCCTGATTTTCTTCCATATACTGCATGTTCCACATGCTTTAGGGCTTAGGGTATTCATTTTTTATTTAATGTGTTTTTTCAGCATTACTACATTTCCATGCCAGTACATTGGAAAGGACACAGTGGGGTTTTTGTTTAAATTGAGTCTCAGGAGGTGCAATGGCTTGTTTTACCCCCATTTGGCAGTTGCTTTTATCTAGCTTTGTTTTTGTATGTAATATTGTTGAAAGGTTGAGTACAATAAAACTGGGTAGTAGTACATTTATGTTTATTTAGAATTTTTGTTTCTTTGTTATCTTGCCTCACTTCCCATTCTATAATTTGGGGTCCCTTATTTAGTCTGCGTATACTTGACTACTTAAGCCACTTGATGGGGTTTGTCTCATGATGTTATTTACACAATATAGTCCATAATATTCCTTCAAGTTTATGAATTATAAACAGTCTAAAGTTTGGTTTGTTGTTTCTCTGTTTTCCATACTTCATTTTGCAGGGTTGTATCCTGTAGCTCACCTTTTATTTTGAGTTTCCCCGTTTTATATTGTTTTACATCTGTGATATTTCCACTTGTTCTCTAGCAGTTAATATATTTGTTTTTCTATTTTAACTCCTTGTATTGTGTCTACATGTGGGTTCCTCCAAAATGGTGGTTGCTGCTGCACTATGTAAGCACCAGTGGCATACAGAAGATCCATGGGTCCCCGGTGCGAAAACTGATCCGTAGGCCCCCCCTCCGGCGGTTACACCACGCTGTCCGAGGTCGCAACACATGGCGGTGGGCACCCGGTCGCAGGGGTCCGCAGGATGGAGTGACCTGGAGTGACGGGCCCTGTCGCAGCTGTGATCCCTGCGACCCCTTCATGTACGCCACTGTACACACACACATACATACAGACAGACACATACATACAAACACACAAACACACACACACAGACACACATATATACAGACACACAAACACATACATAAAAACACACTTACATACAAACACACATACATACATACATACAGACACATACATATAAACACACACACAGACACACACATACAGAGAAACAATCATACAGACACACACACATACATAAAAACAAACACACACACAAAATATATTAGTCACCCTCCTGTTTCCTACCTTTTAGATGCAGGAGGGTGACTTCCCTGGGGTCCAGTGGTGGCTCAGCCTGATGGGAGTGATGGGGGCTGCAACACGCGGCGGCGGGTACCTGGTCGCAGGGATCTGCAGGGCTGCGACCCCTGCAACCGCGGTATGTACGACACTAAGCCTCTCCCATGTTAACTGGGTTGACTAGTGTATCCTATTTTACAGTTTAAAAATTTAAAAAATATTGTGGATAATCATATCCTATTAAAACTAGTGAACAAACATATATGATTCATTTTGCAGTTGCTCTTCATATGTTTATCAGGTGAGCTGCTAGTTGGCAAAAAAGACCAGCAGCTTCAATGCGAGGGTAAGTTTTATAGCCCTGGCCAAATATTTTAAATTAACCCTGTTACGGTACCTCCAGTAGTAAAATGTACAAACCGCCGTTTAGCGAGTATTCCCCGTTCGCACTAATGTGGTCAGGTAGCAAGCATAATAAAACCATGCGAACCGCCAGCCAGGGAACACTCCAAACTCCCAAACGGTACCTGTACGGCTGATTCCCTTCTCGAGCTGCAAATCCACGAACGGCAAATAGTAACCGAACGTCAATAACTCCCAAGCGGCAAATAATCCAAATAAGTAGTCGCTAGTCGCTGGTAACCAAATCCCCCCAATAACGAGACCAAGCTCCGCTTTGAGGGTAAAACACGAACTGATTTACTGTGGGCTACCTGCCCGGTATTTATGCAGGTCTCCCACTTGGTGGACACTCCCCTATGGGACCAAATGGGAGACTGAAATTACAGAGGGACATGGGGACATTTTGGACATACATCCCCACAATATTCCCAGCATGCAGTACAGTTCCCTCCCCTCTGCTCGGGGGATAATTGGGAAGTAACTCAATTATCTCCCCGAGCAGAGGCAATCGCCATTTTAAACACAAGTCACAAAAACACATGAAAATCCATAACTTCATAACTGCCGAACCAGGGCCGGACTGGGGAAAAAATTCGGCCCGGGCATTTTTAATTACAGCGGCCCACTGAAAAGGGGGCGGGACCAGATAGGGTGTGTTTTGTCATCCCCAATGACAAGCACGCCCCATCTCAAAGTGAGCATGTTGGTTCAATGCTCTTCCAGGGCATGAGAAAAGGGCCCTGTATTTGATCTGCACAGCGCAAGCAAATTTAATAACATGCTTGCATTGTGTTTGCTTGAAACTTGTCTCAGGGGTTTCCATAACTGGAATACTCACTGTATCCCATTTATGGAGACACTATGTGTTTGCTTAAAGGATATCTAGTGTGTTCATAGGGGATCCTGAGTGTGTATGTCAGAAATGTAGTGTGTGTGTAAGTGGTGCAGCGTCTGTGTGTAGGGGATCTAGTGTGTGTTTGAAGGACTCAGGAGTGCGTATAGGAGATCTAGTGAGTGTGTGACTGGTGCAGTGTGTTTGGGGGGTGCTGTGTGTGTGAGGGGTGTAGTGTGCATTTGTGAGGAGTATAGTGTGTGTGGGAGGGTGCAGTATGTGTGTGGGAGGGTGCTGTGTGTGAGGGCACTGTGCGAGGGTTCTGTGTATTTGAGGGTGCTGTGTATTTGAGGGTGATGTGTGTGTGTGTGTGTGTGTGTGTGCTAGGTTGCTGTATGTGGTAGGGTGCTGTGTCAATGTTAGGATGCTGTGTCAATGTTAGGGTGCTGGTGTTAGGGTGCTGTGTGTGTGTGTGTGTTAGGGTGCTGTGTCAATGTTAGGGTGCTGGTGTTAGGGTGCTGTGTGTGTTTTAGGGTGCTGTGTGAGTGTTAGGGTGCTATGTGTGTGTTAGGGTGCTGTGTGTGTGTTAGGGTGATGTGTCAATGTTAGGGTGCTGGTATTAGGGTGCTATGTGTGTGTTGGGGTGCTGGTGTTAGGGTGCTGTGTGTGTGTTAGGGTTCTGTGTCAATGTTAGGGTGCTGGTGTTAGGGTGCTGTGTGTGTGTTAGGGTGCTGTGTGTGTGTTAGGGTTCTGTGTCAATGTTAGGGTGCTGGTGTTAGGGTGCTGTGTCAATGTTAGGGTGCTGGTGTTAGGGTGCTGTGTGTGTGTAAGGGTGCTGGTGTTAGGGTGCTGTGTGTGTGTTAGGGTGCTGGTGTTAGGGTGCTGTGTGAGTTTTAGGGTGCTGTGTCAATGTTAGGGTGCTGGTGTTAGGGTGCTGTGTGTGTGTTAGGGTGCTGGTGTTAGGGTGCTGTGTGTGTGTTAGGGTGCTGTGTGTGTGTTAGGGTTCTGTGTCAATGTTAGGGTGCTGGTGTTGTTAGGGTGCTGTGTCAATGTTAGGGTGCTGTGTGTGTGTTAGGGTGCTGTGTCAATGTTAGGGTGCTGGTGTTAGGGTGCTGTGTGTGTGTTAGGGTGCTATGTGTGTTAGGGTGCTGTGTGTATGTTAGTGTGCTGTGTGTGTTAGGGTTCTGTGTCAATGTTAGGGTGCTGGTGTTAGGGTGCTGTGTGTGTGTTAGGGTGCTGTGTGTGTGTTAGGGTTCTGTGTCAATGTTAGGGTGCTGTGTGTGTGTTAGGGTGCTGTGTCAATGTTAGGGTGCTGTGTGTGTGTTAGGGTGATGTGTCAATGTTAGTGTGCTGGTGTTAGGGTGCTGTGTGTGTGTTAGGGTGCTGGGTGTGTTTGCCAGGATTTTGTATTGGGAGGCAGGTAAATGGAACTAATGTTTTTACTAAATACTAATAATAAATACATACTAATAAATACTAATAATAAATACTAATAATAAATAATAAAAATAAATACATACTAATAAATACTAATAATAAATACTAATAATAAATAATAAATACATACTAATAAATACTAATAATAAATACTAATAATAAATAATAAAAATAAATACATACTAATAAATACTAATAATAAATAATAAAAATAAATACATACTAATAAATACTAATAATAAATACATAATAATAAATACATTATATCCCCCCCCACCCCCTCTATTCTTACCTGTAGTCTGGAAGGGGGGGGGGTCGTGCTCCTGCCAGCCATCCCTGGTGGTCCTCGTGGTTAGTGAACTCTAGCCCTTTGGGGCTAGAGTTCACTCTCGCGAGACCCGGCCAGTTGCCATAGCAACGGTCCGGATCTCGCGAGAGAAACCCGGCGGAGCTGCAAGTTAGAGCTCCGCCGGGTCCTCTCTCCTGGCGGCTGGCTCCCTCCCTCTCTCCCCGCCGGCGGCCGCGTTTGAATGCATGTGGGCCGGTGAGGGAGATCTTTGATCTCCCCACCGGCCCTTCATGGAACACAGCGGGGCCGGCGCTCGGATAGCGCCGGCCCTGCATAGACCGGCAGGGGAGATCCTGAGACCTCCCCTGCCGGCCTCGGCCCATGGCCACCGCGGCCCACCGGGCATTTGCCCGGTGTGCCCGATGGCCAGTCCGGGCCTGTGCCGAACATATTACATTCGTATTACGTATCCCCAGATAGCCTGGATCTGAGTGCACATTATTGGAGAATAGCACTCAGATCCCATTCGCATAGTTCAATCGCCATGGAGTCAAAGTCTCTTTCGGTTCTTCAGTATGCGATTGACTCCATGGGACGGCTATCTGGGTTAAGCAGAGTAAGTGATGAGAACCGCACCCAGTCCCAACGGCCAAGGGTGCTCCAGAGTAGGACCAGCAATCCCAGTACAATAATCCAAGAGGAAAAAACTCACAGGCACTCCAACTTCAAGCCGCAGGCAGATTTATTATGACAGAATGCAACGCAACGTTTCGACCGGAAAGGTCTTTTTCAAGCTTGAAAAAGACCTTTCCGGTCGAAACGTTGCGTTGCATTCTGTCATAATAAACCTGCCTGCGGCTTGAAGTTGGAGTGCCTGTGAGTTTTTTCCTCTTGGCTATCTGGGTTAAGTCCATTCGTGTGGTTGAATCTCCCGAACAGCTGGCATTCGTATACTTTTGTCGATTGAGAAGGGGAGGTCGACGGCTTCAGCGGTGTTCGGCTGAAAAAGTGTCCGTTTTCAGATCCATGAAATAGTCGTCGAACACCGCTGGTCTTTCGCATGGACAAAATGGCCGCCGCCTCGTGGTCGACATACGAACGGCGACCACCCGGCATTCGGTTTTAATTGAGAAGTGTCTGTGGTTAACCGCAACGTTCTAATTGGGATCAATAGGTTAACCAGCAGCACACTTCTCTTCTGGGTGGCCGTCCGTTCGGTAGTTCCGTTCGACAAATACCAACATTCCCTTGAATAAAGCATACGAATGGGGAAATTCATGTAACCGGCAAAACAGGTGAACAAAGCATTTGTAATCCAGACAGATGGGTCTGTCACACGGCTCCCCCCTTGTGGAACACTCCGGCAGACCCGGCTTGACCCTTTGGCGGGTCAACTTGGGGATGACCGGACGGGGATGACCGGACTGGGAAGAAGTAGGGACGTCTGTTTGCCGGGACAACCCATCCGCGTTCCCATTCTGCTTACCGGGTCGGTAGCTGATGGTGAAGTTGTAAGGCTGTAGTGCCAAACTCCACCTCAGCAGTCTGCCATTGTCTCCTGAGACCCGGTTAAGCCAGACAAGGGGGTTATGGTCCGTGATAAGGGAAAATTCTTGTCCGTATAAATAAGGGCTCAATTTCTTCAGTGCCCAGACCAGGGCTAGACACTCTTTCTCCACTGCCGCATAACTTACTTCCCGGGGTAGTAACTTTCTGCTTAAGTATGCGACAGGGTGCTCTCCTCCATCTTCCCCAACCTGGCTTAGCACAGCCCCCAGTCCATACATGGAAGCATCTGTATGAACGAGAAAACGTTTGTTAGGGACTGGGGCAGCCAGGACCGGAGCATTAACAAGAGCCTGCTTAAGTGCTTGAAACGCGGCTTCACAAGCTGGAGACCACAGGACCTGCTTAGGCAAATTCTTCTTAGTCAGGTCAGTCAAGGGCTTAGCAACCGTACTGTAGTCAGGGACAAAACATCGGTAATACCCTGCCGTCCCCAGGAAGGCCAGCACTTGGGTCTTAGTGATAGGTGTGGGCCAGTTAGCCACAGCCTCTACCTTGGCTGGCTCTGGTCTCTGGCTCCCACAGCCTACTCTGTGACCCAAGTACTGCACCTCTGCCATGCCTAGATGGCACTTGTCTGGCTTCAAGGTCAGGCCTGCGGCCCGAATCTTGTCCAGCACCACCCCTACGTGTACTAAATGGTCTTCACAGGTCTCACTGTAGACCGCAATGTCATCCAGGTATGCACATGCAAAATCCTGAAAGCCATCGAGGAGCCTATCCACCATACGCTGGAAGGTAGTCGGAGCATTCTTCATCCCAAATGGCATGACCTTAAACTGGTACAGGCCAAATGGGGTGACGAATGCCGACTTAGGGATAGCATCCTCGGCCAGGGGAATCTGCCAATAACCTTTACACAGATCAATGGTGGTCAGGTATCGCCCCCTGGCAATGCGGTCTAATAACTCGTCTACCCGGGGCATAGGGTAGGCGTCAGTGGTGGTCCGTTCGTTGAGCCGCCTGTAGTCCACGCAGAACCT